ATCTGTCGATGGATCAGAAATTAAGTAAAGATTAGCTAATGGATTAATCGATACTTACCGTTAATATATTTTGTAACAATATAATTTGATAATATAAATATTTAGATTAGTGATAAATATAGTTTTTTTAAAAAATCCTCTCTCTCTTTTTCAATTTCTCTAAATGTGAGAGACGTCTCATAATGCAAGACGGACTGCCACGGAAATATTGATTTACTATTTCGGGCTTTCATGGAAAGAAACATTCCGAAATTAAACACGAGTGAAATTTAAAATGACATCTTTTCTCTTTTACGTTACGTCTCTTTTACGAATCTGTTTACGAATAATGTTTACGACACGCAATCACCTGTGTTTTTACAAATATTTTATATATTTGTAAAATATATTATTTGTTAAATATATTATACAGCGAGCAAATCCTAATCAGCATCAGAGGGATTACGAGATCAGTTGGACTCTTTCAAGGTTTTCAACGATCGGCTTTGCTTTTTGAAGCGTACCTCCCTCTCTCCCGTCCAAAACCCCAAGTACGACTTTGCACAGACGGCATTCACTTTCACCTCGCATAATTTATTCTATACCAAGCGTAAATTGGAGGCATTTGGCGTATGTAAGTCGCCAATTTAATAGTGCGATTACGAGATGAGACACACGCTCCTTTTTTTTCTCTCTTTCTATCGAGACTACTTTAACGACGCCGATGTATACTTTATGGACGAGGAATGCATCTTGCACGTTAATATCACTCGACTTTCCATTCGCTGCGTTCTATGTCTCCCAGCAGTGCTGAGTATTTTTGTGCGTACAAGAGAGAGATAAAAAAGGGAAAAAAAACGGAGATTCTAAAAAACTTTGATGCAAAACAAACACACGCGAATATTTGAATCGTGATTTATTTTTATAATAAATTTACGTATCGTTCAAATCTACATTGACCTTATAATCTCGCGATAACCTGATTCCTATTTACTACCGTAATCATTCGAGCGTTTCTTGTCTATAAAATTTTGTCATTTTTTTTGTTGTGCACGATGAAAACAACGTAATGTGGTTGTTGTGAAAATCGTTTAATTATGAAAAAACACAGACAAACGGAGAGGAAAAGGAAACCGTCGAAAAAGGTTTTATAATTTGGAAGATTTTTAAGGAGTTCCACAGCATTTTCAGTTTTAGGAAAATCTCTTTACACAAAAGGTTGAAATTTAAATCGCTACTAGCATAGAAATAGTCATTTAAATACAACGAAAAGTAAACATTGGAGACAGGCAGAAAAAGGGGAAAAACTGTACAGAAAGAGAAGAAAGGGTCAGATAAAAACGTCAGGCAAAATCATTACAATGGACGATATTGTACCGATTCTCTAATCGTTACAATAGCCCAGTTTTTCTTTTCAGCTATTTCTTTTGGAAATAGCTTTCTTAAAGTAGGTATTTTAAGTGATTAATGTTTTCAAAGAAATTTCCTTTTAGAACGTTTCCTTTTTAGGCTAAAAATGAAAAACTTGTCCAAGAAACTTCCTCTAAAAATCTCGAACTATAAAATTTTTTGTAGGTTATTTCATTAATAATGTTATGTGTGAAATAACAAAATTATTTTCAATAAAAATAATGCTGAAATATTACTTTTTCAGTGTACAAGATATCTTAAAAAAGAAAAGGTAAAATATTTAAGTTACAAGTAAAGGCCTTGATAAAATATATATACAAAAATAAACTCGATAAAAATATTAATAGCGCAATAACTTTAGAGAATTCCGTATACATTCTAGAATTCGATGTACATTCTATGAATTCTTTTTAGATAAATTAAATAAATAAATGTAAACAGAGGATACGTTTACAGTATCGATCAAATCACTCATTCAATATAATGTTTTCATTCTATTTCTTTAATCTGAATAACAATTCGAGCCATGACACTCCGTTTAGCCTTCAGATTAACAAGATGGGTAATAAAAGAAAGTAAAAAGGGAGAGAGATGGATTTTCTCTCCGCTTATAAAATACATACAAGCGGTCGTTATACAGCCCGGTTCTTTTGGTTCGGGTTATTCGAGTTTCGAGGAACAGCTGTACTTCTTGAGGGGGAACGCCCCTTTTCTTATGGGATACAGCCGACACAGCAGCAAGCCGAACCGGCCCTTGGGAGCATAAGGGATTGAACCTTGTTGCGCTTTTTTAAACGGCCTTTCTCTCTCTCTCTCTCTCTCTCTCTCTCTCTCTCTCTCTGTCTCTCGTTTGTCGCACTTTTAAACTCTTCGTAGGACTGTTCATTCAAATAATGTTCGGTCGCTACTGGCAGACAGAATGTCGGAGCGGGAAAATCTCGGTTCATGAAGATGCTTCACATGTTTAATTCTGTTTGATGTACCATTTATCAGAACAATTTATTACATCTTAAGGAGATAATTCTCAATATCGTCGATGTATTATGGATTAAGGAAAATAGACATCTATTTCGACATGATGACTTCAAGTTCTCGGTTATCTTTCCGTAGATGTTTAATATTAATTAAAATAGATGTTTAATATTAACTGAGATAAATAGATGCAGATGAAATGTTAAAGTCGCTTTGCTATCTGTTAATTTTAGACGTGACGTCAATTGTTATCATTATTGTATCGAAGTAGTTAGTGATTCAATGATCCGAAACGGAGCTGGTAGGGATATTATAGGAACATTAAAATCTCATTACTTAAACGAGTTTGAGGGAACGCACGGCTTCTAAAACCCGCAGAATCTATTCTACGACGGAACTTTCCGCGATCGGTTCGCAGCGCGTAAATAAATATTCATCGCGATAATGCGAAAAGTCGATCTTCGCATCAAGTGTCGTTTTTCCTCGGTTGTCCGTTTGAAAATAGCGGACGGCGAAATTGTTTTACATCGAGATTGTTTTCCGGTTGCTTTACCGGCACGTCGCCGCAACGTATACAACGCGATACGAGTCGAGAGGCGAATTACAAGTCACGTAATAAAAGTAAAACAAAAAGACGAGATATCGACGATACCCGAAGCAGCGAGGTTGCATACGAAATTTCTCGCTATCTCGCGGTCTCGGGGATATAAAGGCACTCGCACATTCAACGACGATATTTTGACGAAGGCACGCCCCACCCGTGCCACGACTCCTCTACTTTCGAATCTCGTCCGGGAGGTTAGAATCAGCTGATGTAAGAATTCGCAATCGCTTTACAACGCTTCATGCTCGTTAGACCGCGTATATTCCTCGGTTTAAAACGCGCGCGGTCAGAAAATCGCCAAGTAAAAATAAAAAGGGCAAACAGAGAAAAAGAGACAGGTATCGCCATTTATTGAACGCTTTAGGAAAACATCCTCTCAAGCGCCAAACAAATCAACAATTGATAAAGCAAATTTTATTATAAGTAATAGAAATCAAATTAACAGTAACAAGAAAAAATAATAACGACTGAAAAACACAGCAAAATATTTGTAACAAAAAACCAATTAATTGATTGATTGAATCGGAATTTATTGGGCTCTGAAATAAAGTCCCCTCAAGCGCTCCGAAATAAAGTCTCCTCCTTGTCAAAAAAACATTATATAAAATACATTACTAGAACAGAGAGACTATAACCGCAAAAAGTATGTTTTTTTAAAATAAAATGATGAAAGAAAATAATATATCGGCAAACGAATATGAGGGTCTCAACTTTCAAAAGAGATGTTGAGACATTCAAGAAACGAAAGACTATCTCTCCTGTTAAACGCAAATTAGTCAACAAATTATCGCATCAAGAGGGTAAAGCATAACAGCGAGTACATCATAATCAAGATAAGAGAGAGAAGGAGAGAGAGAGAGAGAAAGAGCGAGAGACAGAAACCACGTGTTACAATTTTTTTAGGCCCCAGATGATCCGGTCGGCCCGAACCGCCGACACGTCGGGCATTTAACAGTCATTGAGAATTACGGGAGGATAAAAAATGGTAGGAAAATTCGCAGACGAGCGCGTCCAGGAGATTAGCTTGCAGGAATCTCGCCATCTGCAACGCGACGTGACATCGACGTGACGTGACGCTACGCGACGAGATGATTCATCTGTTTTCACGCTCTCGTGGTGGATCCTTGCAAGATCCTCGCGATTATGTCCGAGGAGTATTCGGGAAATTCGGAAAAGAGATTCTCGTATCATCTCTGATGCGTTACAGGCGTACGGGGTGGACTTTTTTTGATTCGGCATGTCTCGTTCTCGCGCTCTCGCGTATTACGTAATTTGCCGTTGTCAAAGCAGTAGACGTGTCGACATCGCGCGCGACTCGCTCGCTTAACTCGCTCGGCGCCGCTGTTACTCCAAAGCCGCAAAGAAAACGGTCGACCACATACCGAGACGGAGGGAAGCGTGTCGAATTTTCGGAGTTTACCGGCCTTCGAGAAAATTCCTCTTGAAACGGATGAAAAAAGGGGAGGAAGAAAAGGAGAAAGAGAGAGCAGCTGTTCGGTAAAGAATCAAGTGGCCCTCTCTCGAACGTGATCTTGGAGAACGGATTGCGAGGAGAGACAGAGATGAGAGAGAGAAAGAGAAAGAGAGAGGGAGAGACATATGGAGGAGGGAGCGGAGCAATAATTAAAGAGAGGAGAAGCTACCGAGAGGGGGGAGGGAGAACCGAGCCCGTCGAAGACGTCTTCCCAGGCGTCGGCGACGGGAAGACGTCGTCGCGACGAAATTTCGCACGAAATATGGCGAGCAAGCAACACGACACGATCGGTGTCTCTCGCCAAGACTCTTATTCTCTCTCCTTGGCACGATATTACGACACACGTACGCAAACACGCGCGCGCGCATACCCGCCACTGTTTCTCGCGGTGACACGCACGCACACACGCACGTACTTACACACGTATGTATGCGCACCGCGCGCTCACATATATACGCACACGCGCGCGGCGAGCTCGCGCGCACGCGCGCGCGAGTGCGACGATCCTAGCCTCCCTAGGACGGCGAGAAACGCCGACGAACAACGAGAAAACGTACTCACCTTAATCTTGAGGTACTCCTGGATGGCACGTTGCGACGAGTCGGTGAGCTTGACGAATATCAGGGATTTCCGCTCGTCGAAATTGCCGTGCGACGACAAACCATACTGGACATCTGGCACCAGCGCCATTTCTTCGTCTCCCATTTCGCCGTGTGCGGCTTCTCACTGTCTCGCTCGCTCGCTCGCTCGCGCCGCACCGTCTTGCTCCAACCCGCGCGCACGACTCGCCGTCCCCTCGGCGCACCACACAGCTGACGTCCTCCGCTCGTCTGGCTACTCGAGCAACGCCGTGAAGCAGCGCACGACGATAACGCGCGTTCTCTCTCTCTCTCTCTTTCTCTCTCTGTGTGTGTCTCTCTCTCTTCTTCTTTTTCTCTCTTCCTCTATCTCTCGGCACTCGCGCGCGTTTCTGTGTTCCAGCCTCCCTTTTCTCTCTCTCTCTCTCTCCCCCTCCCTCTTTTCTTCTCGCCTCTTTTCTCACCACCCCTCGTTGAACGCACGAATTTTCGCGCGGCGCGATATTCGCGCCGTACGGCGCGCGGAACGTAACACCGCGGGACGAAAACCGATGACGGATATCTTCAGCCGGAACTCTCGACGCGACGAGAAGTTCTTTCGCGAAACGTGTTTTTCCTTCTCGCCACGCTCAAACCATCACCTCCACCGTCGTCGCCACCTCCTCCTCCTCCTCCTCTCCCGCACAGTTGCCGTATGCTCTTTGCTCTCCTTCTCTTTCGCTCTCACGACTGTCGACACACTATACTCGCGGATCGCTGAGGTTCCCCCCCACCCCGGGCACGATGCCGCAGCGTAGCACCCCGTGAACGATGTTTTAACGGCGAACCACCCTCGAGCGCGTTCGCGATTTCCCACCTGCTCCGATCCTTCTCAACCGTCGCATATTATCGCACCGACGCGACTCATCCCGTGGTTTTTCCTCCTGCAAACTGAACGCCGAAAGTCCGGTAGAATAGATGAGAAGCAGCGCCCGTCGTTTCGGCGCAAGGAAACACGACTACACACTTTCGAACGGCCACCTGGTAGGCGGGGCTTGTGGAAGAGCCGTCGACCAATTGCGTCGCGTGCAACCGGATAATCCGACAGTCTAACCAAGGACGACCTCGCCGTCCTCACGCGGTGACGGCCAACGATCGACTACCTGCCGGCTTTTCCCGTTACGCGCCGCGTACAGTTGTCGCCACCTGTCGGCGCGGCGCGGACTTTTAGCGAATTCGGTTGGACCGGTTGGACGCACTAGTGCATCTTAAAGCCGTTGTACACTAATAGTGGTCTGTTTTCTGCTCCCGCGCTACAATTCTCTTTCTCGCTTTCGATATATATCAAGCATATACCTACGTTACTTTAAGTTACAAAAGTGTACACTAGTTCAGCCACAGAAAGCAGACTTTAGGTCTGTTCGCGTTGCTTGAAATCCCCCAAAATTTTTGCACTTTAAGTGAGATAGATATATATGTGTGCTTATATAATTATAAAAGTAGTCTAACTAAAAAAATCGAAATATATGAATTATCCTATGTTATGTATAATTACATTGTAATTTTTTTTTTTATTTAAACACTTTCATAATTACCGGCACATTTGGGCGCTGAAAAGAGAGAAAGCAAGATGCAAAAATATCTATTGTACTCAATGGGTGCTTTCCAGCAAGGACATAGTCAGACACTGTAACACAGTGAGTCCTTTCATCCTTGTTTAACGTTGACAAATAACAAGGATGAAACGACTCACTGTGTTACACAGTGTCTAACTATGTCCTTGCTGGAAAGCACCCTATATCTTTCGCTTTCTTTCTCTTCAACTCCCAAGTATATATTTATCTCATCTTAAATGTAAAAGTTTTGAGTTTCAAACAAACAAACCTATTCTGTGTAAAAGTAATGTGCGAATATTTTGATTTATAAAATACAGTACTTAACAGTACAGTAAGATGTATTATTGAAGTTTTCATGGTTTAATCTGTTTTTTGTATTTGAGACATTCTACGTCAAACCGGACCTTTGTCCGGACCGAAACGTGTCCACCTTTGAAACATCGTCATTTTTCTTTTTTTTTTTAAATTTACTGACATATATTCTACAGATAAAAATATGAGACACGTGTTTCGCGAAAAAGATTTGAGATTTTTTTTGTGAAGTTATTCACGCTTGTAAGTTGCAGAAATTCATGAAAAACGTCGCTCATGCAAACATTTAAATTATTATATCGTTGAAATCATTATACAAAAAAGTGTAAGAGACCGATTTTTTAAAGATCTTAAATTGTTCTATGGATAGGTTATTTTTATTTTATCATTTTCATATAAATAAATCATTTTCACATTTGTTTACAATCTTTATTAACATTTTTCATTATCAATTCAAAATTTAAATTTTACTTCAATTATGAAGTAATTATTAAAATTTCAAAATGAAAAACTAGAATTTTTTAACTATACAGTCCATTTGAATTCCATTTTAAAATTTTCGGAGTTATTTAATAATTGAAGTGGGAATATGAATTTTTTTTTACAAAATTTTTAAATTGGTGAGTTGATGAAAAATGTTAATAATATTATAAACAAATGGAAAATGATTTATTTATATGAAAATGATAAAGTAAAAATGTATCCATAGAACAATTTAAGCTCTTTAAAATCGGCCTCTTGCACTTTTTTTGTACTAATGAACACTAATAAACATATATTTTTATCAATTTGTGTACGACGGCTTTAATAATACACATCCAATCCATCCAATCAAATTCGTTAATAACTCTTCTCTCTTCATAACGGCAATTCAAGAGAGAGTTCGAGATCTCTTTCTACAAAATGCTCATTCACGTTAGGTTATTTCATCGAGCATTGAAATGCTGTGTTTATAACAATATAATTAAAGGCCATCACACGTACAAAAATTTTAGTCGGAATCGTAAGGCCGTAAGCAAATCGGCCAATCACAATCGAGCGTTTTAAAACGCGAGATCGTAATTTTGATTGTGATTGGTCGATCTGCTTGCGACCTTACGATTACGACTAAAATTTTTGTGATGGCCTGTAAGCAGAAAAAACAAAACACACGCACATTTACGGAGTTTATTCGGTACGCGCGACTGGTTACTTTTACGAGTGGGAAGCGTGAAGTTAGCCACCGATACTTTGATAGAATTCGACGTTTCGATATTAAAATCGTAAAAATGTTAGAAAAATTGATTTTCGGTCGAATGAATCGATGATTCGGAGAACGAGAGCAATTTTTCATAATGTATATTTTGACAAATTTCATAAAATTCATTGACCAGCTGTGTGCCATCTAGGAATTTTTCGAACAAACCATAATTTTGTTGGTGTCACTGTTGTTTTGACGTAAGAGGCTGCTGTCTCGTTACATGTTACATCTTGATCGAACAAAATTATTTGGTTACCTTGTGGTTCTTCGACACTTGCTCGAAAATGTTGCGGCCATTAATGGGTGTCACGGCTTTATTAATGATAATGGAAATGAATGTCTATATAGCCACCGATTGGTGGTGGGGAGCGAGAGATCCATTTGGTCCATATCCGAGAATACCGGATAAAAATTTGGTGAAGGTAACTTTTGCGATTGTTGTGATTTCAAGTTCTTAAGTTCACGTCAGATTTTTTAACGGCAGTCAATTTAATTTTAGATGCTTTTCAGTAAGAGACACAGATGAGATAGTGCTTTTCATTTTCCCACAACTTAGATCGTTTTCATTTGTGACATCATAACCTAGTGCATGTTCTTTTTCATTCTGACAAGTGAAATTCAATTAAGTTTTTACCTACAATCTGCACAAGCTCGAGACTATGTACTTTACTGAGTCTTGTTAATTCAAATTAAAAAAAAAATTGAGGCTTTAAAACCTGTGTTATGCAATAATTTTGTCACCGAAGTAGACAAGCAATGACGTAATTATCTGAATATAAAATACTCGTGTAATTTTGTAAATCAGTATCAATTGTGTGAAATTGAAAAGCGGTTCAATCATTATATCCTTGTTTACCAATGTTAAACAAAGATAAAATGATCATTTTGTTACACTGTACTTCTTACTGGAAAACACCATTTAACTTGATTATTTTGTTTGAAATTAATATCGATCGTCATTAGAAGAATAATTATTATACATGAAATCGTTTTATTATTTATTTAGGTACTTTTGATGTAACCAAAAATGTTATGATTATTATTTATTATTACAGAGAGAAATTGCATTTGCAGAGGAGTGCAGGAAATTTATAACTGCGCCTAAAGACCAATGGATTCGTTAGAGGAACTTTATTAACTTTAATTGTACAGTGAATATGTATGCGTTTTTTCCTTGGGAAAATGTAGTAATAAATAAGTGTTATATTAATTTATAATAATATTACTTGTGTTTTGAATTACACTTTAAGGAAATCATGAAAGGACTGCAAACATAAAACGACCTTTTTACATATTTTTATATATTTGAGAGCTTCCCATTTAGTGACACAAGTTGACACAAACATTGTATCTTTCTTGGGATTCCATAAAAAACAAAAATAAAAGATACTTATGTCAATTTGTCATCAAATGAAAAACACTTATTGTCGCTTAATAAATCAATTTCCTATAATATTTGTGATTTGAGCATAATGTAGCATAATGCTATATGACAGTTATTTTTACTTAAGTGTTCTTGAGAAATATCGGATGTATTATATTTATCAATTTTCAATTTTTGTTGATAGAAGTTTTGTTAACAGAAAATATAAGTGATTTCATTTATGAAGAAACAAATATTTAATACTTAATATTTACGAAAATATGTCATCTTAACGTGGGAATAGAATCGGTATTTTTTAAAAATATTTCTAAAATATTTCAGCTTGCAAATTTCAATTTAATTTAATATAATCTGATCGCTTTACATGAAAAGTATTACAAAGGATGGAATGAAGGAGGATCATGGACACAGCCCCGGCGACAGAATATGGAATAACTTCAGAGGCAAGTATTTTCGGATAAGTTTATTAGAGTCCCTGGATTACCTTCCCCTGAGGCAGCTTATCCCAATAAGAAAGCCATCCTTTCTACCCCTCGCTCAACGGTACGCACCGTCTTAATACATTGCAAGTTTCACTTTCACTTTTCGTTTCGTTATTCCATTTTAAGAGCACCCTTCGGATATGGTACATTGATCGCAAAAACGAGGAACGAGAGAAGTGTGCGAACGGACCACGGGTGGGGAAATGCGAAATTAAGAATTGTCATATCGAACGTGTGACTCGTTTACTTTTTTCTTAGGATTTTACGTCAATCGTAAAATTTCGATACTTTACAGAATCGTTAGAGAGGCACGATAGCGGCTACATCGGATCGTCCGAGCGTTTATATAAGTACAAGCTCGTCTTCGCATTTTCAGATCGATTCTACCAACCTGATTTAACAGCTTCACTTATAATTAACTAAATTACGCCCATTATACATATTATTCTACATATTACGCTATAATCTAGAAATAAACAATCACTTGCTATTACAGGGAATTGAACGACGTTGATAGAATCATTTCTTGAAAATCGACGAGATTTTTCGAAGATCAAAGTTCGGGCAAAATGCAACCGCTACGATTCCTCCTCGCGATGCAAACAACTTTACCATAGGCAACGTGATTTTTTTAAAAAACATTTACAACGCGGAAGTATATACGACGATGCAACGCAATCAATTTTGTAAAATCAACGCCCGTCTCCGTCTGTCACTTTTAATACACTAACACAATGTCAACGAAATGTATTCTGAATTACTTCACAACAATATTTTTCTTTTTTATGTACAATTATCCCAAGAAGATCAGAATACTTCTAGTTCCACTTTTCTGTTTCTTTTTTCGTCGCGACGCAGCAACAAGAGTATACATGAAAAATGGCAAGTAAGATGTATTTCGTCTCTTTTTTTTTCTTGAAGAATTCTTTCTCATGCAAAATTGTTCTGAAAAAGATTGGGCTGTGTGAATATTCTCATTCGCTGTACTTCTCGCTCAAGCCCTTTACCTGCGTACTTATATTTGAGCAAAACAAAAGAGGAAAACAAAAAAAAAACACGGCGTAGCGTATTGTAACTAGGGTTGCCAGATCTTGTTGTCTACCGATATTCCTGGGATATGTCTGAGACGATGGTTGAAAAATGGATTATTAAAGTATTCGAGTTAAATTTTCAGTTAGGTCCATGTGGTTTATGTGGGGATACTAATTGAAAATATATATATAGTCCAAGTACTTTAATAATCCATTTTTCAATCATCGCCTCAGACATGTCTCGAATATGTTGGTATTAAATCTGGCAACTCTAATCGTAACAGATTAGAGCCTGTTTTTTAGTTGAATTTCTTGGATAGTTCATGTTTCTTTCATTTCTCTTCACGTTGAAGAAAAAAAGGAGGAAAGACAAGAAATTCAGTTAAAAAGAACAAGCTCATGGTAACACATGAAGGCGAATACGTGTAGAACATTAGAATTTTTATGGAGTGGGGGGAGGGGGTAAAATTTCAATGGGATAATGGGCGTTCGGAAAATCACCGCTCCGTGGCTGTCTCGGGATTTCTCCTTGGGATCTTTCCCACTTTCCTTTTAGATGTTTAGCGAAGTAGTATTTGTAATAAAGCTGATATAGACAATTTATGATACAATAATAAACAGTCTGTGTATATTTGCACAAGATATCTTTCCTTAAGCGTAATTTCTCCGAACTGCATGCTCTTTGCCCAAAGAATCTTACTTAATTTTAAATTTTTATCTCAATAAATATATCATAATTTATATCATCATCCTTTCAATATTCAGTATCGTATAAGTTTTAAATTAAAATCCTATCCCGGATAAAATCCACTTAAAATTAACCGAAAAATATGATGTCACATAACAGAAATATTATCTTTGTTGTGATTCTCAAATTTTCATAAAGCTCTTCATTTTTAATTCTTTCTAAGATGACTTAAGATTGATTGAGAAAAATTTACAGTTTAAGGAAGCGCGCTTAGAGAACGAGAGACATCCTGTATAATAATATTAATATGACTCTTAAAATATTATTTATGGTGAAAATGGGCGGAAAAGTATGTTTTCTCTGAGTTTTAGATATGTTTTTAGAATAGATTCAAATATCGCTCGAGGAAAGATAAAGTGAAAGTGATAAGTCAGATTTACTGCGATCGAGCGGATGAGACAGCAACACGGATCGCGATCATGACCATGTATATGTATATATATGTATATGTATATATAATGTATATACACACTTGTAAATATGTATATAATATGTGCAATTGTATGTGCAATATATTCTGTGATTACACGATCGAGATGCGATAATATCTTACACGTGCGTGTGTACTGTCGATGCGAAAAAAAAAATTAGATTACAAGGGATATTTTCGGTTGGGCAACGGCGAACAGACGCTTCGTGTCGACGCGAGTGTGACTCGCTTATCATGACGATGGCGATGACGATTGAATGACCAAGGTTTTCGCACTAACGATCTTTCCCCTCGTCTAACCGAATCGGAAACCACGAAGTCTCCGACCGAGCCGAAATAATTATGATCGCGAGTAAATAAGTGTCGGTCGATATCCGAGTAGCAGCAAGAACTGTATTTCGTCACATTACGTCCGCTTACGCGCATTTGAAGAGGCGAATAAACAAGAAAGGCATTACTATTTCTACTCTTTCGAGACAATCGTCTTTAGTGATTCCTCTCACTTTGAAATTTAACGTAAACTGGTAAAATTTTACCAGACGAATATCGCTAGTTATCCAAATTCCATGATATACAATTTTTTATCTCTTACATCTCCATTCGTTCATTCGCCCCTTCTTGTCACACCTAATATGTATCATATATATATATATATATATCAATGTCGTATTACTCGAATAAAGACCAGTAACGAATCACAGTCAAACGAATGCTGTACACGTGCCGGATTTCCACCCGCGTGATTCCGTCACGCTGTATATATATTTACGCATATGTATACAACCGCATATATCTAGCTACGACTTAAAATTAATAGCATTTAAACTCTGTCTCTCTCTCTCTCTCTCTCTCTCTTTCTTTCTCTCCCTCTCTCTGATATATAATGCGATGATATGGCACGTGGTGTGTGTTTATGCATGTGCAATGATTTAACGATGATATAACTCTAATAGGTCCCTCTCTCGATCATCTCTCTTTTCTTTTTCTCTCTCATCATTTGACTATAATGTTTCCCCATAATTACCTAATTAATCGGATTTGAAATCCCCTGTCTCCTCGCTTTTATACCGCACTTCTCTTCGAATTCCGTTTGAATACACTCGACTATTCTCTAAATATATGCAAGAACTCATTGAATACGTAAATGTATAATAAATAATAAACAGGCGGTACCGTGTTCTCACGGCACAATTAGCGCTTGAAAATACGATCGTCCGAGTTTTAATTTTATTTCGTCTAATACAGGTCGCCTTTTTAACGTCAACGTGACGCGAATTCAGACGATTGTACAATATATTTACGCTAAATGCGCCGTCAGAATACGGACTCGATATTGGCCATACGACGAGTTAGATCTTTAGTATTAACACGAAACGATTAACGAATCATCGTTAGAATCGATAACTCTTCAACGTATACGAAATAGAATTTTTTATAACCCAAGGAAGAAACTTACGTGTCTTTAATTTTTATTCGCTAACTACGTGCGGCACGATATTAATGAATGTGATGCACGATATATCCTTAAAACGAGGCAAGTCATACTGTATATATGGATCTCTATATCTAGTTGAACGGTGCGATTGATGCGTTCCTCCGTGAACCGCATCTCACTATGCATTGATGTCACCAGGATTGTCAGGATTTCGAGAGGCAACTCGCGCTTGCTCGAACCGCACAATCGCCGTCCGGTATGGCGGAATATCGAATCGATAGAGGACAATACTGGTATTCATCGGGCGGTCGTCGTTCGCTACGATGATGATGGTAATAATGACAATGATCCGTTTTCAGAGATGAGAAGCGCAACGACGGCGCGTGCGTTCGGAGCTTAATTCGATCGTGTGAATATGGAGTCACACAAGCGTTATCCCACGTGTATGCACTGAGAAATATGATCTGGTTGGATTAAACAGTAATTCTGGTGGAAAACGGACGAATCAGAATTTTCTGGTTAAATCAACTAGAATTCTGGTTGATATAATTATTCTGATAAAAATAAGAATTTCAGGGGGGTGATTGTTTCAACTTCTTGATAAAGTTTACCTGTTAGGTAAGTAGCAAGATTATCCAATCACGTGTGCGGATTGTCAGATTTACCTAACAGGTAAACTTTATCAAAAGATGGAACAATCGGCCCTTAGTAGATTTTACCAGAAATATATCAACCAGAATTCCGGTTATCTCAACTAGAATTCTAATAAATTTAACCAGAACATTCTGATTCGTCCATTTTCAACCAGAAATTTTTTTCAGTGTGTGTTTGTGTGTGTGTGTCGATGTGTACACATGCGTATATATTTTGTGTCTCATGCATGGTGTTATATATATTTATGTGCATCCAGTTCGCTGGAGAACAACGCGATCGGTGTGAGTAAACAAACGAAAAAACGTTTATCGATGAATATTCGGGATATTCTACGCAGGTATTCTTTGTGTTGAATGTGCGTGTTTCATACTCTTGGATACAATTGCTTTTGGGTCACCTTGCACGCTCGCGGCCTGCATAGCGGCGACGTGTCATCGAAATCTCTTTCTCCCTATGTCTTTATAATTCTTTCTTTCGCTTCGTTCTCCTTCGCTTGAAAAATTTTCTCGACAATAACGGCGCTTTCCGTGAGACGACGAAGCTTACTTCTTCTCTTCACTCGTTAGTCGTAATTACCTAATAAATCACGCAGATGATACGCGCAGAAAGTTACGCGTTCCGCGTGAGTTCATCGTGCCTCCTCGCGTCTATTACGAGTTTACTCTTAATACGCTTTTACTTACGAAACACAAACATCCCGTCTTGTTTTTTATATATTTATTAGGTACATTACATATGTGTCAATACGATTTTCAAGCATAGTATTGTCAACAGTTGTGTATATTTTTTATTTTCTCTCCTTAATTTCCCTTTTGTTATGTGATTTTTCTCTTCTCCTTGCTAAAAAAATTTATATCTCGCTCGTTTATAGCGATCTGGAGTCTGCTTTGAATTTCCGATCGTGATTTTCTATGTTTTCGTCGGTTGGACGCAAAAGTTTGCGGCGATCACTTGGGAACTTCCGTTTGATGCGAATGAGAAGTAAACATTTCACTCTTTGTACAATTTTCTTACGCTAGAAAATTGGAAAATAACGACGGCTTGATTTGCTGGTAACTTGCCTTTGATTTTCCAAGATGATTCTGAATTATTCCGACCGAAATATCAAACATAAAAACTTATTTATTTAAAATTGTAACTATCACTCAGAGAATTGAGAATGATATAAAATTATGAAAAATATATTTCAAGAAAGACTAACATAAAATTATCTATGGTTTAAGCATAAATTACGTAATTTTTTTCAGATCTTTGTTCAAGTTTGTCGAACGCCTGGATTCTTTTTCATTTGGATTCAATTAGTAGGAGCTAAAAGCATTTTTATCGTTATTGCGCTACATACTTTTGCGTCCTGTATCTTCGCATTTGCATCTCCTTGCAGCTGATAATATCGCGGATGAAAAGTTACGATTTGTCGATGCGGTACACAGGGTGTTCCAGGTTTCGCCCATCTACGGACTCTCCGATCAATTTCGAATATTTTTCCTTAACGAAAAGTGTTAAGGCAGCGATAAGTTTTTAAACTGTAAGATGGTAAAAAGCCTAAGAATTTCAACGAGCAGTAGAGATGACGGAGCCTTAATCTTTATTCAATTCGAAGCGAATTTTACTTTCACAGTATTTTTATTTGAGGCTTAGACGTATTTAATATTAGGAAATTGTGGATAACAAGGATAAAACTATCGCTAAGGAAAAATCAACTGCGAATTGGTCGCGGAATCAATAGATGAAAGGAAGTGCAGACGAGTCTGAATCACTCTGTATATATGTAATATATGTATATATATATATATATCTTTCTTTCTTTTTCTTCCGTTATTATCGCGACAAGACTCCTCGGACGTTTACAGAGAATAGAAATATGGGAATGTATTTAAAGAAGAAAAATACTGTTGTTATGTTTAGGATCGGTGTAATGTTGTAGTCGCATCTATTTTTTTGTTATCTGTGTTTCCAATTTCTGTACAATTTCTATCTTCCGCATACGCGGATTCCGTCTGCAGGTCTCCCCTCGTACGTGTATTTGTATATGTTTCTTGTGCGTGTAAAGTGTAGCGTGTCAGTGTTCTCTTTAAAGGGTAATTATCACAGAATACACGAGATATTTTCATTAAGCTTACAAGATATTAATCGAAGCGGAGAGTAGGAGGAAAAATTGACGGCCGACCCCGTCGACGGTCGCGGTGATTGCGGTGGATCTGCGACCGGGAGGAACGAGTGTCGAGGTAATCGTCTGGATATCCCCGTCGACGAGGCCGATCTGAGTGCCGAATTCGCCAGCCCTTTCGTATTAAGTAATGTACTTAGTGTTAGGCAGCGGAGAAAATAGACACTTTTACACTTTTACAAATGAAGATGGTGGCGAGATCGCGGACCCGTGTTTTTCTTTCCTTCAGCTTGAATTTTTCCGAAATCATCAACGACAGATACAGATGCAGGTGCTTCATAAATTGATCTCCAAATTGAAGTTAAAAAATCTAGTATGATTTCAGATATCTTATATCATTGGCGGAAGATATAAAAATCGTGTACTAATAATCTGTCCCATTTTTCTTTTTAAAAATATTTAAACAGATTAAACAATTTAAATTTAACGAATACAAATTATTAATTTCCGATTTATTAATGTTAATTAATTTTTTTAATATCACTTTTCGTGGTTTTTAAAGAAATGGATTCGAATATTGTTACGTAGAACTCTTCCATTTATAATCTGATGCTTTAATGTACCCAAATTTGGTAAGCACCTGCAGCTGAAATAATCATTCACTTTTTAGATGACTCTCGTCTCTCTTTCTCTATCTGCCGATCGAAAATCCCGCGTTCGCAGCTACATCAGCAGTTTTAGACACTATACACAATACGTAAGTATAATCTAGACGTACTACGTAGTAGAAACTTTTGAATATAATAGCGAATATAATCTCCGGAGTTGTGTTGTACCTGCCCCGCCCGACTCTGCAGCCCTGGGCTGGACGATAACTGGATTCATCGGATACGAGGTCACGTGCCTTCGAGTTTCTCTCACGGAAGGATCCGACCGAAGCTTCATGCGATCGTAGTAGATGTGGCGAAGAGAGTCCCGATCGTTTTCCATCCACTTTCGCCGCTGGCCCGATACGAGTTCCCGATAAGAGAGATCAGCGAGAACGCGGTAGATGTTTCTACGGACGGGCGAACGTCCGCTGTGCACACGAGGAAAGATGAACAAGACATGCTGAAACTAGACGGTAGCAATAGTTGTACTAATAATAATAGTCCAGTGCGCCTCGTGTAGTATTCGGAAATAGGCGGTTGCCGTAAAAAACAGCGATAGCTAAAGAAGAATCAAAAGCTACGGTATAATCACTTGCGTGTGCTACAAGATTACAGATAGTGCTATCAAAGTTCACGGATATTACTCGGATAGCTTCAATATTATCCAACCCGTAATTTTGGTAATATCTCAAAGTAACCGGTCACACTTAAATAATACTCAAAGTATCCGAGTATTCGAGTGGTACCGACAGCACCAATTACAGGAGTGTAAAGTTCAATTTTGTAGTCTCGCTCGCTCGCCAGTTCATAGAACGAGGATTCGCGTTTGCAGCGTGTCGGGCCTGCCTCTGTTACGTTAACATGCGACTTCCGGAGGCGCAGGATCAACGCGTGTACATCTTTCGCTCGCAAAGGTCTGGAATAGTTACGCTTTCGCGTAACTATCGAAGCTTTCGGGCGGATCTCGGCATCATTCGCAACAGCATCAGCAACAGTCAGACTCTTATGATCATTTCTGGTATAATCTTACGAATAAGAACGTAATTTACAATTACAATGCCTTACTAACTTTTTTCTGTTTTTATTACTAACGGCACGCCGCTGCGTGACGTCACAGGGCGTGCCTATTTGGTCGTACGCAATGCTACATTTAAACTGTATATTTAGAAAAAACTTCTTCGTCTCAACAATGTTTTCACGTATCTACAGTAAACTCGTCCTCCCGAACAAACGGCCTAGAAACGACGCGGTCGTATCGCGCGCGTGTAAACGTAATGTGTGAATGTGTATGTATGCGTGGCACGTAAAGTTTACGGTTCCATGTACGCATCGATTTCGCCCTGTGTCTGTAGCATGTGCGGCCGCGTCGCGATCAAGGATTCATCACACGTGGACTCGCTTATCGTCCTCTTCCATTTCGAAGTCAGTCTTTCGGCGAACGGCGGCGCGTCCGATCGAGAGAGTCTCTGTCGCCTTCTGCGCGAAGCACCGTACTTGAGTTCTTCGCGGTGTTGATCTCTCGTCCTATCTTACGTTACGAATATTACCAAATATATTGCATACTGGCAGCACTGTTTTCACGTTTCGCGTCTTTGTCCTAGCGAACACTCTCTCCTTCGTATCTTCGTCTCCCTTTGCGTCACGCCTACGACACACCCACGAAGAAGAGTCCGATGTGTCTTATGTAGTACTGGAGCGTCGTTGTCGAGCTCCGCTTCCTCCGATTATTTTGGCTCTCTATAAATGCAAGAGGGAGGAATCACCCTTTTTTCATTATTGTAATAGTACGCAGGACGAACGCCAAGTCACGCGGGGTTGACCTAGCTCGTCGTCCTATCTCGAGATCTGTGGAAGATGATAGTTCCCGGTGCGTCGTCGCTGTCCAGGGACGGGGTTGAAGCTTTGTGTGTGTATATGTGTGTGTATGAGTCTCGTAAAAAAGGGAGAGGAATTACGCTCGACTGAACTCCACAGCGCGAGGAAAGATGGAGAGAAGAAGCTTCGCGGTAAATCAAATCCCGTTGCTAGGATTGTCCCTCCTTAGATCGTGTGCCTCTCAGCGAAGAAGGGCGGAAGGGTTCGAGGCGATCGTTTTCGCCGGATGAATCGCGCGAATTACTCTCTCGCGCGGAATCGTGAAAAGTTTCGTTCGCTTGTGGCACCGAAGGCATCAAATGCTAACCCCTTTTGGACGGCCTCCTGCTTCTCTTCCTCCTTTTCTTTCTGCTCTTTTTTTTCTTCTCCTCTTCGGGCTCTTTCCAAGCTCGAAGTACTCGAGTCGCTATCGGCTTATTAATGCAACGTCGTATCTCCTCAAGTGGGATTCGGTAGCAGTGTCTCCTGTCTGATGTCGCTCTTCAGCTTCACGAACTCCTTGGCGATCTCGTCGTTGTTGCGCTGCGAGAGAATACGCAGGATCGTCCAGCCGGTCTCGTCCATCTGGATACGCTTGCCGAGCGACAGCCAACACGCGCACGAGCCCTCCTCGACGATGTCCTTAAGCTGCATCACCGCGACTCCGACGAGCCTATCCTCCCTCGCGAAGCAATAATCCTTCACGCAGATATGCAATTCGTAGAAGTCTAGCTGTTGTTGCTCGTTACCAATCATGCTAAGAACAAAGATAAGGCAAAAGTTAGAGAAACTTTGTGTCTACGTAAATTAGTAATTATTGATATAAATTAAATTTTACGTCGAAACTTACAAGTCAAAGCTCTCGTTGAATTGCGGCGACCAGTTATTGCTCTTCGATTTCGTCGATTGTTTCCTCTTCTTGCCAGTAAGATGCGGTCCGATTAGATTCACTTCAACATATGGCCTGAACATGCCTGACGCCAATTGCCATTTCAGATCGTTCGCGGCCACAACTAAAGAAATGGAAGATTTTTTAAATTTAATTATCGACGAATAAATTATCAATTAGCATCATCCACTATCAAAGTTATACAATTAGTTTTACAAAGTTTATGAGAGTGTAATCGTACCTTTGACGGTGACTTTCTGCTCTCCCGTTCCCGGATGTGTAAAGAGATCCACCTGAATGCTCACTTCACCTACCGAACCCTCGTCCGAACCGGCGGTATCTGGAACTTGAAAAGTTTACAGTTAAAATTTACGCTCGAGTACGAAGATCGTGAAGCTAGAATAGCATCTAGACTACGCGGACTTCGTCTGATTCTATCTGAGACTACGATCTGAAACTAAGGCTAAGAGAGTCTATATTTTTTATTTCTATTTCTAGAGCAGATTACATGCTCTGATAATAGGCAGGTCAGGTACTTGTCAGCGTAATTATCAGAGAAGACGAAGTCAGCCTCCGTGAAGTTTTCACGATTTAATCACATATTGGTGTGTGCCGAGAATTATAAATTTTCTGTTTTTATTGGTTTTACATTGTAAAAAATTAATCATTTTCTTTTGTATCTATTCGGAGAATCTTAGCAACACTCCCCGAAAATTCAGTGCGTATGATACAAGTGTCCATGGTGCAGACGATCGATCGATAGATCAATCAATCCGTGATTCCTTTCTTTATGTGTTTGTTCCTTCAAATATTCGAAGGAACAACGTGGCGCTAGATGTGAGTGTATCACGCGCTTGAAATCATGTATGGTGATTTAATGATTAAGTAATAAAGTTTTCTTGATATGTGTACGTGTCAGAAGCATTATATTGAAAAGAATATGAGGCCGAAAGAGGCATTTTGCTGGTCGATAAAGTTCTCAGTAGTAGCAGCAAGAGTGGCGGCAGTTATAGCAGCAGCGGCAGTGATAACAGCACAGCTTCCTAACACAGCTATTGTTGTCGAGACGTTTTTATAGAGCATTCTTCTTCTTTAAGAGTGTAAAGAATTGACAAGAACATAAAGATTTAAAAGACATCTTATTGACCATTTATTTGTATTTATTAAACGGCATTATTTTAAATTATTTTAAAATTGCTAAAAGAATATATTGTGGAAAAGTGAAGAAGAAGACAAATTGCATCGAAAGACGTCTCGACGAAACGATTAACTCACTACGGCCTAAAAAACTCTCCGACACTCCCAGCGACCTTCTAAGGTCTGCTCTGGTGGTACCTTGTCGGCTCTCTCGACGAAGAGAGGGCTTGCTCTGGCGAAGGGGTTCCTCGAGGCTTTCCATACCCTCGGCTCCTTCCCCTTCGTCACCTCTCTCGCTGCTCATCGAACGCTGACGCTGACGTAGCGTTGACGCATCGTTCAGCGGCACTGTCCCGACAATTTTCATTACGTCGTAATGTGAGTGTAAACACGCACACGCCGATATATACCGACTCCTCGCGCGATAGTTGCACGACGGAACGTGTAATGTGTGTCATTAGAATATATCGCTTGTATCTAATTAATTCATGTGTATTCCTGATTAAGTAATTCAAGTGTAGTTTCGCTTTTATCACGAGTTTTGTTTAGCAAGAAACGCATATAAAAATAATTATTATTATTTTTACAATTTATAAATTTTTAATATGACAAACTAAAAGCGACGTACCTTGATTGACTTGCGAAGTGACAAAGGTCTTGATGAGGGTATCCGTTGTCTGCGTGTATAAGCTCAAAGCGTAACGGAGGCTCTGCAGTTCCGGCGATTTCTCCAGGAACGTCTTCTTCAAGCCGTTACCGCCGGCATGGAAGTACTGTTTGATCGTGTCCAGAGCAACTTCGAGAACCGCGCACTGCTTCGGTGAAAGATTCTTCTCCACTTCCTTGGAGATATCCTGAATGAATAAGAATGCTTAACACTGAGCGAATTTCCTTCCGAAATGCAGGTAATTTAATTTATTCAAATAATTTTTTACGACTTGAATAATGTATTTCTATTACCATAACTCCACTGAGAGCATTTTTAACATCAGGTTTCCCAGCCATATGATTCTTAAACAGCTTCGACATATCTTCTATTTTGGCGTTCGCAGCGAGATTCTTAGCGTTATCCGTTAGATTCTTGAACATCATCTAAGAAACAAGAATCATAAATCATAACACATGCCACTTAATAAAATTTTATCAATTTTTTTTTTCAAAAAGATTTAATTATAATATACGTACGTTCTTATCCGTCATAGGTGGTAAAACAACAGTCTTTTCTAAAATTCTCATGACTATCTTCCACAGTTCTTTCAATAGTCTCTTCAATACCGTCTTTTCGCACGATTCAGCATACAAAGATAGGCTACCGTCGAGTAGAACCATGAGCGGCCTCAGAACATCGTCGGCCTCTACGGTGACGTTGTTTCTTTGCGCCGGTTGCGATAGGGTTACCTGTCCTCCGCCTTTGATAGCCAACAGAAGGTCTCCTAATTCCTTAACGGAAACGGTTATTCGCGGTTCTAAACTGTTCGCGAATTGTATAGCCAAATCGTCTAAAGCTCCATTCAACTGTTGTTGCAACTCCTTTAATATGTTCGCCGCGTCCTCCTCTAGCTTGTCACCGCCCATCGATTCGAACATTTTTTCTAATTGAACCCGAAGTTGTTGGATGTTGTTCATCAGAATACACGCCTGCGGAATAAGATAATTTGTAGTAAAGTCTATCAATAACTTAGCTCGAATGTTCGCAAATTGTCGCTTGATTTCGAGCACGTACAATTCGTTCTTCCTTCAAATGGCTAGGAAATTCCTTCTTCACTATATCTGCATAAGCCAGCAGGACTTTAACGATGGTCTTAGCGAATCTCTTCATGTATCTCTTCCAGATCTCCGGATCTGAACATTCCAGCCTCGATACTACATCGAAGCACTGCGTCAATTGTGTGAAAATATCGACAACAGAGACGCTGAAGAGCACATGCTCGCTGCTCTTTTGGAACTGTAAAAAAAGATTGAAGAACCATTAAAGAACCCTGCTATATTACTGTATCAAGATTCGTAAATAAAATAGTGGTATATTACTTACGCCGTCCTTTTTATCTCTACTAAAGGCACCGTGGAGATATTCTAATGAGACGTCATCGTTCTCATTGAGCCATTGCATGACGAAGGGTTCGAACCAGGCCGGATATTCTGGCACGGCGCCCTTATATGGCGGCACGTCCTTGACGTAGGTGGAGTGCAGCCACTTAACTGTGAAGTGCAAATTCATATAGTCCGAGGATTTGCACAGTCTATGCTGCTCGTGCTCCTCCAGAGCGTACTTCATGTCCACCGCGAACAAGGACCACGTCGTGGCACACGACAGTTGACCGATGTTGAGCTCCTGAGGGAATTGATTTAACACGGGCGCATAGCTGTTCTTGTCCTCGTCGTTCACCATGACTATCAGGGAGATCAGCTTGTGCCAGAATTTGAGCGAATCCAGTCGCGGCCCATGATCGTCCATGTCTCGCGCGGCTTCGATCGGATCCACCTGGAACTCTCGATTGTACATCTCGAAACAGTTCTCGAACAGGAACTGATAGGTCGATCGCAGGCATGCCTTCACGCAATCCTTCACGACAGTACTGGCCCGTGGCGGGCTTGACAGTTCCTGAACTTTCATGCGGAAGAACGTAATGCTTGTCAACAGGTCCACGGTGCTCTTCAGATCCATCAATTTCTCTTGACTCGAAGCCGGAAAATTGTTCCTGTACATTGACAGGTCGATCCTGAGGGAGTTGTGCAGCTGATCGAGTAGCTTGACAAATTTTTCTTTCTACAATGAGAATAATTTATTTTAGCTTCTTTTATCAATAATATGCAGTAATAATAGCTATGGTTTCTTTTCCTATCTAAGGTTTCCTTTTTGAAGCCGTCGATAAATATACGTCGATTTTTTTTATTACAAGAATTTTTTTTATCGACGTAACAACTGTATATTTCACTAAAAAACTTTTTCATCGAATTTTTTCTCTTTTGGCTTCTGAAGATTTTTAGCCGTACCTTATTTCTTTTTACTCAGAAAGTTTAGCGTAATATTTTCAAAGAGGAGCATCATGCATAATTCAAGAATGTAAGAAACATACTTTCTCATATATACATCAGTTCTCTTCCGGAATTAAAAGATTTACGAATTTAAATTTCGAGCAAAATTTCGGTTCACATATCGTTCACTGTTTTATGGGAACTGGCAAGAACGTCGATTTGCGTGGAGGTATGCGAAAAGAATTTCCATATTTTCCGCACAGCAGGAAAATCCATTCGCTCGGCCTTGTCGGTTAAACTACAGATGATTAAAAAAGAACATGATCGAAGAGAATCTTAATTAAAATCTTAATTAAGTAGCGTGCATAGGGTCTCTTTTTACTAACTTTTCTCTTTCTTTCAAAAAGTATTATATGTTAAGGGGATAATAAAAAATGCAATCATAAATACAGTGAGACCTTATCATTCTTTAACGCAGGCATGAATTCGTGACTTAAGATATTTTTGAGTTAGATGCAAGTATTTCTCGTTTTATTGTTAGACTTTACAGTCCTTTGCAATCAACACGACGAAAAGTTAAGTTACTGATTCTTGGAAGAAATCCGTTTTAATCCGCTAAATGACCGATTCGCCAAGATTCAAGCTTTATTCAAAGACAGAGAATTGGCTTAATCTCTCTCAAAAGTTTGCAAAGTAATTATTTAATCAACGTTATATATATTCGCGTCGGCTGATCCCTTTATTCCTGGTGACCTGGTGAGAACGGAATTGATAGAGGGTCGGGTCGAAAAGTGCGTCCTTGTGCAAGTCAACGCGCAACCGTCAAGGATATGAGAAGTAGCTCGGGATAACGTATAGCGCTAGCTGACAGGAAATTGCACGAGTATTTCTCTCGCTTCTCTCGCCGCCGGGGTTCCAGCATTCGCCATCCCTCACACTTCTACGCTTGAGGTGGAGATACCACGGCGCAATCTTCAACATCCGGCACTTACCCCGAAGTTACTGGCGGCGAATCTATCACTGGCCGACACGGCCGGACTGGCGGTCGTGTGGGCGTAGTACGCGTTTATGTTCGCCAGGAGAGTCGACATAACGGCCGGCACGCCTGGACACAGGTACTTGGTTGAGAGGCAGTGGAAGTGCCTGGAAAATACGAAATCACGAAATCGTATCGAAAAACCATTTGTCTTGATTCTTTCTATTGTCTCAGAGTTATCGCGTCTTAATTTAATCTCAAATACGTTATACATGATTTTTATTGAGTGAATTTTTATTCAACCCTTTGAGAACGGGAACTTTCTAGCAAAAAATTTTAAAAGAGGTTTTATCTTCTAAGAGTTTTCGGCGTAGCTGAATGCGATTCTATCCTGAGAATTTTAAAATTTAAAATTTAAATTTAAAAAAATAATCTGATTATGGTGAAATTCGGTTTTAAGAGTTCCTGATATCGCTGAGTTTGAATGTAGCCTATAGAAATGTCGGAATTCAAAAGGGTAGTAACCTCCATTGAAGGAGGATCTAAGGGCTCATAATCAGAGTTTGAAAGTTAGTTTAAAAATCAGTACTAACTGTTTGTGTAGCACTGATGAGTTACAAATAAACCAAAACTACAAACTTAATGTTTGCAATCAAAAATTCTCTAAAAAGCTAAGTTTTACGATAACCAAATTTAAAAAAATTTTATCTATTATATTGGATTCATCATTTGAATTTTTTGTTTTTGATTTCGGAGAATCGAATAAAGAATTATCAAAAATTATTCCATTTCATAAAAATCGAGCTAGTAATTTAAAAAATAAAAAGAGATGTATTCAAACGGGCACGCCCTACAAAAGGTTAATTTCTATTTGATTTAATAACGAGAATAAATTGTTCTGTAATGTAAATAAAATCAGTAGCTTTTTGATAACAACTTGGATTAATGATTAATTACGAATGCATGGCTTCGACACTCACGTCATCGCCTGGTAGATGCTTTCGATGCCGTAACGCATGGCGAATTCGTCGACGAGCTCTTCGCCAGGAGGATCGAAATAGACCTTCCAGGCGTCCTCGCCCTTCGTCTGAGGCAAGCTCACCATGCCGCCGTTCTCCTCGCACAGGCTGTGGAAGAGATTTTCGTGCAGACAGGTGTACTGCACGTGGTAAGGTGCCACCTTCTCCTCGCCCTTGATCTCGACACTGATATGCAGCCGAATAGCGCCCGACACTGCGCTCTTGTCCGTCCTCTTCTCCAGGTTGTACCAGACGTCCATCTCGCCGCTGAGAGTTCGGACCTCGATGATGGTCTGCCCAAGAAAGTCATCGCTCTCCCTCGTCAGTTTTTGCCTCAGCTTCGACTTCAGGTCGTTGTCCTCGTCCCACACTCGAACTTTGATTCGATCGGATGAATTGTGGCATTCGCTGCGAACAAGAATTTGTGGTTTTTACGACGTCCGTAATGCTTAAATCGCATTCGTCTTGAAACTAAATTTAATTTCTTTTATCGCTTTTAAACGATCGATAATTTGTCGATAAAAATATACGTAATATTAAAATTAAATGTACTTCAACAATTCATGGAGAAAAATGATTTTATCTTATAAGACTAGTAAAAATATTCTTGCTATTTTTGCAAAATTATGAAAAACTTGCCTGAAAGTAAAAATACCGAAGATGTAAGATAAAAAGTACATTACAATCATAATAAATCCATTTAAATGATTATTCTTTCTACAGAAAGTAAATCATACTCAAGACTCTAAGCACGAACAACTCTCAATATTTTATACACTTGTATTTTTTACCGTGCAGTAAAGTAAATTTTACCAGCGCTAAGACAAAAAATATCCATTGAAAAAGTAAATTCTATTGAAATATATGGTAATTTATAGACTTATTTTACGAAATGCAAAAGTATCTTATAGTGTGGTTATACAATGATCGCTCACTTAGCAGAAAAGTAGGGATGGAAGCAATGCCGTTACTTTTAACTTAATTTATTGTCATTACTTCCAGTAATAACAATTTGGTTTATTTAAAAAAAATGACTTTTTGTCAATCTGAGCTTTTAATTAGTAATCGTTACTATCATAAAAAAACTGCAGCGTCTTTGCCAAATTGTATCCAAGCAGAACAACAAGTCATTAGGATATCAAAATGACGTCAAATGACTCCAAAATTAAAAATCATTTTTCAATCATTTCCAATTCATTTTTATGTCATTTTGACTTTATCATGATTCGTTGTTCTGGTTGGGTAGAAAGTAACGATTTCCATTTATATAGAAAAGTAATGATTTCCATCTCTACAGAAAAATAAATTTTACGAAAATAGACGCATGTTCCTATATGGATTCAATTTACTAAAATTGCAGCGCATATTACTTTACATTTTTTCCATGCATGTGGATAAATAAACATGTGACGTATAAACATGTGTGAGTAAACGCAACAATTGACGTCATCGCTTGTGAAAACGACGGAGAATTCATAGTCAAAATTGAAATCGGAGAGAATTACGTATTCCGCTGACGTAGCAGAGAAACTTGTCAAAATTACTTACAAATAGAACTTTTCGTGCCATACTGGATTCAATTCTCGGGGCATGGTCCTCGTGCGTTTCTTTACTTTACCAACTTGGACCGTCACGTAGGGATCGGATGTGCCGCTCTTATCTTTGGCGATTAATCCCTGAGCGCTGATCACTAGAGACGGGAGAAGAATAGAATTAAAAAATTGTTCATCAGGCTGAAATGCCTAGATCTCGCGACGGGACGGACTGAGCGCGAAAGATTTAATTCACGAGAGCGTAAATTCCTAATCTTGCGGTGTACATAATTTGATTACGGGACAATACCATCGAATGAAAACATTACCGGAGTTTGCCAGCTGGCCAGTATCCAAGAACGCGAATGCGAGGGCTAATCCAATAAAGCTAACAGAACTGGATATCCGTCGAAACATATGTTCGCACCATGTCGGTGAAAAAAAAAATCGCGTGATTCCACTTCGTGAGAAGACCATATTCCACTTTTAATCGCATGAATGCCTCGCAACGAAATGGCATACATCGAACAATTCTTGCATACGATGAATAAAAATTTCTTCAATGTGCAATCACGAATAAAGTAAGCGGGCAATAAAAGCGCGGATCTCGAATTCGCGACTCTGTGCAGAATTCGAGGAAGTCCATACGGAAAAGGCTTAAATAGCACCGCTTTATCGATAAATCAGCCGGGATTACAATCTACCCTACGGGTCCGTCGTAACATCCGATAGAATCGTTCGAGCTGATGGGGTAGCCGGACGATCGGCCACAAATGTGTGGTTACGAGTCTTAAGAGCCGAGACCGTATGTTCATCACCGCGCTCCCCGAAACGATAAAAATTTTACTACCCCGTCCTGATTCTGATTTGGCGGTGTATGCGAATTTTATACACATCCTGCCTTAACGTCTGCCTGCATTTACGTCCCGAGATTTCGCGTTTATTATTTATGGTACAATCCACATCGTATCATTGGTAGACAAGCTATTCTATTTTGACAATGACTGGTAAGAAAAGCAATGTAAAGATCATATTTCGTTAATTTATTTTAATTACTAACTCTTATAGAGTTTCTGAGAGAAAAAAAATAGTTTTGGCAACTATAAATTAACAACTCTAAAATTTAAGTACACGCAACTAGTTTTTATATTTTTATAGTATTCAGTACTACTTTAGTTCTTATTAATTTTGTAAAACTAGCTGTATGTACTTAAATTTTGGAATTGTTAATTTATAGTTGCCAAAACTATTTTTTTTTCTCAGTGTACAATAAGTCATTACCTAAGTTTTAAGTCTTAAACTATTAATATAAGAAATTAACCAATCATAATCGATTATTCTTCTCACATTCGACTGTGATTGGTTAATATCTTCAAATTTAGGACTTAAAACTTAGGTAATAGCTTATTGTAGAAAACCTATTATAAAAAAAAAATAAAAACTTGTTTTTCCTGCGCGAACACGACGATATACGAATCTACGAATTGCTTCGATCTTTCGTCGAATCGATTCTTTTAGCGCTTGCGATTAGACAGTAGACTATTTGGACGAAAATCTTTTTGCGGACATAACGTATTCATCTATTCGCACGTGCACGTCGACGGGATGAATAAATATGACTCAGTTTTATGTGAGAATTTAATTAAAAACAGGTACTTTGAAAACAGATAGTGAGTTCCACAGGGCTTTTATCTCGAAATATCCCAGGAATTGAGAAGAGCTGATGTTTCCCATTGTATGTTCTTCATTATTAAATCGGTCGGTACTTTTTACAAAACTTTTCAGATTTAAAACAATCGACTTTATTCCCGGAGGATGAAAAGGACTTGCGGTGAATTTCAATTTTTAAACACGAAAGCTATACGTTCACAAACGAATAAGAAATTATAATAAAGTAAACAAGTAAAATATATATATTAGCTGGAATATCTTCCTTCCGCCCAATCATTATAGTTATACATATAATTATAGATATACGTTGTGTGTGAGAAGATGCATGCAAAGGCCGAACATCCATCCGACTTGGACACTCGATATCCATTGTAGACAGCCATCGTAAAAGCGTGCAAAAGCTCGGCTTGGATCAGGTACATATATCATATAATAACGCACGTATATGGAGATATATACGTATACGTACACAATACATATAAACATATACGTTGGCACACAAATGAAATATTTAAAAAACGTGTAAATACATATGTATACACTTGTGCGTGGGTGTGCGTGTGTGGTATCATATATCGGATAACGTGCTTCGGTTTTGGATCGACGGACAAACACACATGCCCATGCTACTAACTCTTTCTGATTCGCATCGTCGATTGCAGTGGGGGACGATCGTCGATGCTTCCTGCCCTCGATGAATGTCGATTTCATACCTAATCTCATTAATCATCAAGTCATCGCCACAATCCACTTCGTGAGAGAGATGTCAAGAGTCTCGGCGCGTACACGTCTGTGTATTGTGTGTATGTGTACGTGTGTGTATGTGCGTGTGTTAATTTTGCGCAGCAGATTGCGTTCTACATCGCACAACGTCTGTACTCTTCATCTGAATATAAATGAGCTTCATTAATCTGATAATTAATCCGATGCAAGAATATTATCGTCGATAACGATTGAGTCAGATTCGTAAATTTGTAGCAGGCACTGATTTATGTGCTTTATTCGAGCTTATGTACGAGGCATTTAAAATTGAAAGAGGTACAGCGCACATAATGCTCAGCAGAGGATACGTTCGATTGAAATTGAAAACTTCATCGCGATTAAATCCATTATGAATAAAGCAGATCTATCGAACGTCAAAAAATTAAACGAAACAATATACGTGTCGTCGAAGTGAATGCATTGCGCATGTTTTACATTACATCGTTTTATATCACATCGCATTCTACATGATTCGTTATAATGGAACTCAACGTGTCGCGAATTTAAGTTCTAAATGCCAAAAGTAGGCGGAATATGAAGCATGCCTCGTTGACGCATCGCGTTCGCGTGTGATTTTGAAAATCAACGTTCAGACCGACCGTTGCAACGATTGACCGATGTAACGTAAATGCAACGCTATTATCATCGATATCGAACGTATAATTTGTTGTTTGCGTGTGCGTTACGAGGTTGATCGTTATCAGCGCATATTGATTCCACGTGTTAGGCCGCGCACTCCAATCTTGCGATCGAACACACTCGCACGCTAATTTAACGCGTCGGGTTGCAGTCGTAAGCTGCATTCATTTTTAATTGATCACACTGCGGCGATACACACACTGCGACGATTATTCGCGGTGTTGCACTGGATATACTTAAAGCTCTAGATATACCAAAGTAGCGCAATCCCTTTATCTGAGCCGAAATGCCGACAAGTTTCCTTTTGGCTATTTCGACCGCTATTTGGACTTAATGGCTTATAGTTCAATAAGCGCTTAGTATTATTGGTATATTATATGGTTAGTGTAGTTCCAAAATGGAGGACCTTTGCGCTACTTTGGTATATCTAGAGCTTTAGATATACTATGCTTCGTTTCATTATCTCTCTGACAAAGGGATTTCACAGAAATAATACTATCGTTCTTGCGTCTCTATTCGACGCTCGAGGCGCAATCTGCAGTGATATCTCGTCAGATCGTAGTCATTTTAATTTGAACCCAGTGAATCAAGAGATTTGATTACTGGGGCAGAAGAAGATGCGCCGACTGTTACCACCTTCCTTCCATCTCTTTCGCCAATTCGCACTCTGTTTGGCCCCTTATTTCCGTGAATCTCCTCCTTTATCCACTAGCGGTTAACCCACTGACGGCACAGGATCAAAATTAGATTATTCACCAAATTAAATATGAAGAAAATCAAAGAAGTAATATCGAGATTCATTACGTAAAGAAATATTAAATAGTTCGATTCTGTTTCGAATTATTTTACAAAGAAAATTACGATTCTTACCCAGACAACCTGCATGTCTGAAAGACGTTATAAAGACATTATAAAGACGTCCTTTGGGACATGTAAAAGGCACTGTAAAAAAAAAACAGGATTCCTCTTATTTAATTAGATTTATTCTCATCGGTTAATTTCAAATTGTGATTCAATGTAAAGACATTTTCGAGACATTGTGTGTTGTCTGGGTTATTCACATCAGTACCGTAAAATGGGATAACTTTTTTAAATGTGAACCAAAGTTACTCCGATTTTAGATCAAAGTTACTCTATTTTGCGATAGTTAAAATTACAGCTTGAATCCTTTCACTAAGATTTATATGTAGGTTTTGTTATGTAGGTCGATATCGCGTTGCTTCTTTTCCCTCGATGTAATTCTTTATCAAGATGAAAGTCACAAACAGAGCAGAAACGGTCAGCCAACGAACCAACCAGTCGGAGTCGGCACGTGGTTGACAACTGCGGCCGGTAGTTTCTCAGAAATAACTTCGCTCAGAAATTGTCTCAATTTTCTTCTGCTCCTTTTTTTGATTATCCGAACTCGTTTTCCGCGTCGAGAGTATATAAACACGCGAGGAAAGAAACGTTCACGACGGAGGAAATAAAAAGCTTAGGACGGAGGAGGCGCGCTGTCTAAAACAGACCATTCCGCCGATTTTATTCTTTCCTCTTCTTTTTTTTTATACTGCGTCCTATTTACTTATCTCCCTTTTTTTTTAACAGGGTAACAGTAACCCTCTCTTTTTCATACCATCTCGCTTTTTCCCTCGCTACTTCCGCTGTTAGCGGCGGACTGGGAAAGCGCTGGCTGGATACATCGGCAGCTTTTGAAAGGCAAAAAAGTTTTGTGTTACAGCTAGCCGTATTCCCTGCTTATCGACTTTTCCTCGTCGGAGCACGTTCTGCAGCGCAAATGCTGTTCAACCTCCTTTATCTTTCCAGTTGATCGTAAATAATAAAGTACCTCTTAGTGTTCTTCCGTCTCTTACATTAAGTTAAGTGCATAAAGTGTAGTTTTTACATTGAATTTCGCGTCATTTAAAATTCATCGTGCGTTCTTCGTCTACAACACCTTATAATTAGGGCTTTTTATTCAGCTTCGATTAATGCAAGGTAGAACGCGTGTTATCACACAGCTTGTTATCGTTCCATTATTGAAGTGTTAAATATATACGAGCTATGATAAGAAATATGAAACGATTCCGAGCGCGCTCAAGCGAAA